TCTTTTACCATTTTTCGGTAAAGTTGGTAGAATTCGAGTAAAAAATTATTGAGAAAAGATATAAAATATCTCATTTTTTATATCTACTTTTTGGCAACTTAATATTTCTTCGTGTAGAGCGGATGAAATTAATAATAAAAAATAGAGAAACCTTAAATAAAATTCTGTTGAATATTGCAAATTCATTGATGCATCAGTGTACAAATATTAATATCATCAATCAATTTCCTTTGCAGTCATTCTACATACAAAAGTATTTAGGTAAGGACTTAAAAGTAAATAGTTTTTTAGATATTTGAAATCTTGTTCTAAAATATATTTATATAAAATATAAAATATTTCAGAAAAAACTTATTTTTCGATAATTTTACTCTTGTAGTTTTATATACAGAATAATCATACATATTGATTTAAGTTAGGAAAATCATATGATTTTATTTAAAAAGTTTAAAGTGATTTTGAAATCTCCTACATATTTCCACTTACAAGAAAGTCATTGTCACTTTGAAATATGTCTCTTTCAAAATTACAAAACTTTTGTAGGCACTGTTTTCTTATATTGTTTTGAAATAGAGCAAATATTTGAGGTAGACTACTCTATATATATTAATTTTTATGTTTACACATACTCATACACACACACATATAAATACACACACACACACACACAAAGTGAAACCAATAGTACCTTTTTATATTCTCTATCAAACCATATAACTTTTGTTTAAGACATTTTTCCGTATCTTCCATATTTTTCGAGATTTTTTCCTGGGGTATTTAAAATGGGACACATTGTGTATATGTGTGTGTGTGTGCGCAGCTCATTCTGAAGGTTATTCGAAAGTCAACTTTGCATTTTAAATAGAAACATTAATTTTTTCTTACGGAATTTTATTCTTCGTGAAAAAACTACCAACTTTTATTTGAATGAATTTTTCGTATCCTCCTTTTTCTAAGATATTTACGGAAATATCTACAAAATTATTGATTTTAATAATTTTTTACTCGAATTCTACCAACTTTACCGAAAAATGGTAAAAGATAAAAATTGTTTATTTCCCTCTTACAAAGCTCCGGGAATTTTTTCAGGATTTTTTAGTTAACTTCTTAGTACTGCATTTTCTTGCATTTTCTTGAAGTACTAAAAAGTTTATATATATATATATATATATATATATATATATATATATATATATATATATATATATA